TTTCTCACTCTTGTGCAGTAAAACTCTCAAGGGGGTTGTCCATCTTGACATTGTTTTTTGGATTTCTCTCTCTGTGTTTTCTCTCAAAGAAGTAGGTGTGTGTGTGTGTGTGTGTGTGTGTGTGTGTGTATGTGTGTGTGTGTGTACACACATGTGTTCGTACTAGTGTGTGTGTTGATCTGGAGGTCAAACCTGGAGTCTTGTGTGTATCGCAACTCCACCCTTTAAAGTTTTTTCTTATTTAATTTAAAAGCAAATTTTATTTTATAATTAAAACACAATTATGATCTTCAGGTCCTGATTACCATCCTGTAGTCATTTTAATGTATTTCTTTGGAATGGTTGGGTTTTTTTTAAATTATGGCAATAGGTATATAGCATAAAATTCACACTATTAACCACTTTTTAACTGTACAGTTAGGTCTTATTAAATTCATTTAGATTGTTGAACAATGCCTAGAATATTTTCATCTTGCATAACTGAAACTTAGTCCGCTTTGAACAGCAGGATTTATCTTTAAGAATAAGAATTATTAAGCATTTTTTCATGATAGAGGGAGAAGCTGTACAATGAGAGAGGTTGAGGGCGTAGAAAAAGTGAAATTTCCAGCATCCTAAAAGCTTAGGAAAGAGACCATCTCATCATTAGAAGAGAGATAAATAAATACTTCCATTCCATCATCTCTCGAGTGGTTTTTATTTCCTGCTTTGTATTACAAAGAAAAAGGCCACAGCAAAATTTGTATTCATAATTTTTCAGAAACTGCATTTTTAAAAACTCCTCAGGTCTTTATTTTCTAGACAGAACAAATATCTATGAATCTTTTCTACATAGAACAAGTATCTGTGAATCTTTTATCTCATGACTTTGTGCTGTTCCCCCTGTCCTTTGTCCTCTACATAGTGCCCCCCCTTCTATTTCCATGCCATATATTTTAATGTAGAGCTTAATATGGTAGAAAACATGCAATGTTTACCCTGTTTAACATGGTGATCTTGTTTCATTCACTTTTCTACAAATGACATAATTCATTGGTTTTACAGCTGACTAAAACTCCATTGCATACATAGCATATTTTAAACATCTGATTGTAAAATAATTTCAAATGTGTGGAAAATCTTCAAGAATAGAACAAACCAGACACTCTTTCCAGAAGCACCAACCATCATATTTTTGCAGTATTTGCTTTACTGCAGTGTTTTTTTTAATGAGGAATTGTACACATCATACCCTTTGTCCAAATACTACAACAAGAAGCAAGTGAATTCTCTTACAGAATTCCATTATCAAATTCAAGAAATTCACAAAAACAGTGCTATCCACACATGCACATTTCCATATTCAAATTTCACATTATCTTAGTCTTGTGGTTTATGGATCACCCCCCTCCCAATTCAGAACCACCTGTTGTATTTAGTTCAGTATCTCTAGTGTCCATTATTGTGAAATAGGTCCTAACATTGTTAACATTTGTGACACTGAGATTCACCCTAATGCTTCTGTGTGTTGAATTCACTACCCATTTTGAGCAGGAGTGTTGCATCCCTGCTGCTGTGTCTTAGTACAATATGTAAGGAGGCACAAGGCGCCGGTTTCTCCATCTAATACAGTGTTGAATACTTAGTCAAGATGGTGCCTCTTTTACATTCAGCCACAAAAAAAAGCTGTCCGTTTTCCATTTTCTCTGCCCAATTCATAAGCAGAACGATGCTGTGGTGTTATGCAATTACCTGATGCACTTTAAATTTTCCTTAATCATTGTAATATCCATTAAGGATTCTGGCCAATTCAGTTATTACTGTGATGGCTGCAAAATGGCAATTTTCCCACTCTATTATTTCTTCTCCATTTATTGGTTGGCATGCTCTGCAAAGAGCTTCCCCTTACCTTAATCACTTGCCTGCTTCACTGTAAGTTCATTGATTTTTTTTCAGTTGGAGATTTAAAATTTTAGTCTTCCATCATAAAGCCTCCTGTTAATATAGTGTGTGTGTGTGTGTGTGTGTGTGTGTGTGTGTGTGCCTGCGCGTGCGCTGGTTAGAACACATCTTACAAAGTTTATTTTCTCCTTCCACCATGTGGGTCATGGAGATCCAACTAGGTCATCATACTGGGCAGTAATCACCACTGAGCCATCTCACCAATCCATCTTTTTAAATTTTCAAACAATACCATTGTATTTCAAATTCTCATTTCCAACGCAATGTGTCACTGTTCAGGTGGACATTTTCTGTCCTGTTCCAACAACTGGTCCTCCCCCCACCCCCGTGCTAGATGTATCTATTGCTAAAAGCTGTTGTTTGTGCATACAATAAAATGTGTGTTTTCCAAGAGTACAGTTCAGAGTCGGCATTAGATACTTAGTGTGTCACATTGTGTTTCTTCAGAAGGCTCCCCGGGAATGATTTACCCTGCTTTCCACCTGCTCCTTCTTCGCCTCCTGTAACTCTACTCCTCTCTGTACCATCCTGAAGATGCAGTGGGATCACTCCACACTTCAAGCTTGGGTCGTTTTCTCATCAGTGTTTACATTCACTCCCTGGGCAGTGTCATCCAAGAGTACAGTTCAGAGTCGGCATTAGATACTTAGTGTGTCACATTGTGTTTCTTCAGAAGGCTCCCCGGGAATGATTTACCCTGCTTTCCACCTGCTCCTTCTTCGCCTCCTGTAACTCTACTCCTCTCTGTACCATCCTGAAGATGCAGTGGGATCACTCCACACTTCAAGCTTGGGTCGTTTTCTCATCAGTGTTTACATTCACTCCCTGGGCAGTGTCATCTGACTCTCATCCTGTTATCTCTAACCCAGTTTTCTTCCTCAAGTTCTGTACTTTCCATCCTCTTATTTTGACTAAGCATCTTCACCTGAGTCTCTAACAAACATCCAAACTAAATAAAACAGGTCCACTGTAGACCCAATCCACTGTAGACATGGTCTACTGTAGCCTTCCCTATCTCAAGCAATGGCAGGCCATTCTCCCAGTCATCCAGGCAAAAACTTGGATATAACTTATATCTTCGAAGGTCCACCACCATTTCTGTGCCCTACCCTGCCACCACTGTGTCTCAGCAGCCATGGCTCCTGTCTGAACTATTTCAATAACCTCTTGCAACATCTTTCCAGGCTGACCTCTGTTCCAAGAGTTCAATCTTCATTCTACCCTTTCTCTCCTCTTCACACTGATCCTTCTTTTCTTTGCACATTCCAGCATCCTAAACATGTTCCCACTCCTGATAGTTGTTTGGTTCAGTTTCTATATCTGGAATGTTCATCCCAAGGTATTTACTCAGCTAATTCCCTCATCACTTCTATTGGGTCAAGTTGTATCTTCTCACTAGTCCAGTGCTGACTACTACTAACACAGTCTCTAATCCCATGTTCTCTGCTTCCCCCACCTACCATCCCCATTACATTTACCTTTGCATTTTATTATTTCTTTGCTTCTGTGTTACACATTGCCGGTCTCCCTCTGCCATGTCCATTCTAAGAGGGCAGAGATCTTGTTTTTGCTCAATGAAATGTCTAAAGCAGTGAATGTCCCATTAAAAGTATTCAAGATTGTTTGTTTCTTTAGTAAATTAGTGAGCAGCTTCACTTTATGTTATACTGTGACAAATGCAAGGAAATGAGAAGCTATCTGCAAAATGGAGTCCACAAATAGCATCCTTAATATTGATATAGCCCAACCATAACTTCAGCCAGTCTCTACTTATCTCCGTGTGCACATTTGCCTCGTTCTATGGGTGAAATCTAGATTTGTTATAAATACAAGTGATTTTAATCAGGCAGTGTTTTCAGGACAGAGCAGATTTTGATGGTCCTGAATTATGCCTTTCCATGCTTCATACAGCCAAGTAATGAGTTACAGATGTTTGTCATTCACTGCTCGGTGTTTCCCCTGGCTTTCTTTTTCTCATTAGTGGTGCTTTTGAGTTCCACAGGGGAGATGGGGTAATGGGAGAAGATATGGCAGAAAAACAAATTACTTTATCCATCAGCTATATATTTTCCTAATAGACTCTAAAATTGCCTCGATATCTAAACTTCACTGAAGACACCTCGTGTGACTCAATTGTTTCAACTGAGATAAGACATATCTTGATAGACATTCAGATATGGTACCTGGCACATTTCTGTGCAGTTGCCATGATGTCAGCATCAAGTTTTGAAGGGTACACATGACATGAGCATGAAAGTGTCTCTATCACCAAGATGGGTCATGTATGACTACCAGTGCAAGAGAGCACACAATTAGGAAGTGTGCATCCTCTTTGCTTTTTGGAAACATGGTTAGTTAGGTTCTTTTTGTTTTTTTCTGTTTGATTTTTTTGGGACAGGGTTTCCCTCTGTATCTTTGGCTGTCCTGGGACTCACACCGTATACCAGGCTGGCCTCAAACTCACAGAGATCCACCTGCCTCTTTCCCAAGGGCTGGGATTTAAGTTATGAGCCACCACACCCAACCTGGTGGTTAGTTTTACGATGATTTTGTTTCATTAATTTGTCAATGATATGACTAAGACAACAGGAAATATTTTTCGCACAGCCTTCTAACGTCTGAAAAGAACATAAGAAATTAACCAACCAAAAAGTAAAGTTTTTAATTCATACAGTTAATGTCATCCAAAATTATCTAAGAAAAGCATATGTAAAATATATGGCTAACACAAAGTCACTTGTGGTGATCCCAGAACTCTAGAACTTCAGCAGAAAGGTCATGATGTTGAGGTCATCCTGGGCTATATACAAGACCTTGTCAAAAGAAAATAGAGCAAGAGAGACAGCGGAGAGAAAGGGCAGGAAGCCCCTTATTTATTTGTTTGGTTTTTTCATTTGTTAGAAGAATTTCAAAGATGAAGTTAATAGACCATATTCAATTCAATTTAGCCCTTAAAGTGTCTTTTGAATGTCTCTCCTTTTTAATATATCATACTTTACACAGAGAAAATGACACCTCTTTTAAACTCATGAAATTCCCCATGTTGTTAATTTCCACAGATACAACACACTCAGGGGAAATTGGCACCAAGAAAAAGGTGAAAAGACTGTTAAGTTTCCAAAGATACTTCCATGCATCTAGGCTTCTCCGTGGGATTATACCACAGGCCCCCCTCCACCTGCTGGATGAAGACTATCTTGGACAAGCAAGGGTAAGCCAGTTACCAGCAGCAGGCAGTGTCCCAAGAACCTGTGACCCAGCTAAGGGCACCTGGGTCTGAGCACTACTCTGCCTCTAAGGGGCTATTTGACTCTGGGTTTGGCATTTAACACATCTGTACTTGCTTTCTTAAACACAAAATGAAATTAATAGAACCAGGTACCTCATAGAGGTAACTAAATACTTTTCTAGATATAACATGCTGCTGTTGTAGTTGTGGGGTGGGGGTGGGATGCTGGGGATTAAACCCAGGGCTCATGCAAGCTAAGTAAGTACATGCCACACCACTGAGCTACACACCCAGTCCTGAGGTAAAGCATGTCCCCATGCTTACCATACTCATGCCAAACACACATTAGCTATTTTCACTTTTATAAATGTGCAGAACATATTTTTACAGTGCTAAACGAGGTAAGGTCTTGGCCGGAAAGATTACTGCTTAGGGTGTAACTAAATTTTTAAATCCATTAAAATTGTCTTATACAATGGCAACTGAAAATCCCTCTAGTAATTATCAACTCTTAACTCTACATTGGCTCTTAATGCAGCATATTAGCCTATTCTTGTTTTTAAGTCATTCAAAAAGCTTGTAATAATAAATTATTTTCACTTTACATTGATCTGATAAGACAGAATTCAATGTGAGATGGTTTTAAAACAGTTTTCAAGTTATGTCTTATTGCTAAGCCTACATTGCCAAAGGAATTTAAATTCTGGGGGTAAACTGTCACCATTAAACAGATGTCAAAAGTAGTATTTTGTAGCATACATGGTAAATAGTCTCTCCATACAATGATATATTACTACATATATGCCACTAAAAAATGAACAATAAAACATGCCAGAAGAACTATCTCCCAATATCCTATCTATAAAAAGATAGACATTAACGAGACCTTACAGCAACAAAAGAGTAAAATTGAATGAACCGTTGGTTGTTTGATTAGTTGGTTGTTAGTTGGTAGTTAGTTGATTAGTTGGTTGATAGTTGGTTGGCTGATTACTTGGTTATTATTTGGTGGTTGATTGATTAGTTGGTTGATAGTGTGGTTAGTCGGTTAGTTATTTGGTGGTTGGTTAGTTTGTTGGTTGATTAGTTGGTGGTTGGTAGGTTGATTGGTTGGTAGTTGATGGTGGGTTGATTAGCTGGTAGGTTGGTTGGTTGGTAGTTGGCTGATTAATTAGTTGGTAGTTAGTGGTTGGTTGGTATTCATGTGTGGTCATTAGATGATTGGTCGGTAAGTAATGGTTAATGGGTAGTTGACTAGGTGGTGGATAGTTGGCTGATTTATTGAAAGGAGATCAATTAAAAGTTCTTCTAGTGCTGGGTGTTGGTGGTACACGCCTTTAATCCCAGCACTCGGGAGGCAGAGGCAGGCGGAACTCTGTAAGTTCGAGGCCAGCCTGGTCTACAGAGCGAGTGCCAGGATAGGCTCCAAAGCTACACAGAAAAACCCTGTCTCAAAAAAAAAAAAATGTTCTTCTGACACTGCAGTGTCAGTGTCAGAGCACTCATGATGGGTTCTCTTCTCAAGGAACCACATTTTTTAAAGGCGATGTTGAAATAAATAAAAAATAATAGACCAGCATTCTGGCTGTCAGAAAATAAAGCCTGGATCTGCATTTCATGTTGTATGATTTGGGTAAAGGTTCACCACAAGCAGATAATCATCCCTTTGTTTCTTTAATAAATTTTGAGGGCTAAGCATGTTATACAAGGCACTGGATTTTTCACAGGCCACAGAAGCACTCAGGGGCAGAGAGGATCATAAGTTAGTCCTTGCATTAGTGGCTATGCCTTCAAACAGAGATGGTGAAGTTGTAGGAACAATGGTACATGAAGAATCAAACATTGCACACTTTATGTCACATTTCATTCTAGACATGGCTTACTTTTTAATAAAAAAAAAAGTCTGCCTTACAGAGTAGGTCTTTAAATTATCTGGTATGTTCAGTGACTATCCAATTTCCTATATAATCTTCCTATGTTAATCTTACATGCAGTTCACATTGAGCAAAACAATGTGCTCAGCAATGGTTTTCATTTCATTTTTAAAATTTTTTATTCTAAGAACTGGGACTACAGCTCAGTGGTAAAGTGCTTGTCTGACATGAACAAGACCCTGGGTTTAACTCCAAACACACAAATACAAACAGCAAAAAGGGAAAAAAATCAGAAAAAATTGTTGCAAAGCTTCTCCCTACAGTGCCCCCTTCACAGAGCCCCCTTAACAAACACCTACACCCATGCTCACTGTGAACAAGCACTGTGACAGGCACTTGAGGTACATAGCACTACCTCTCTCCACCCCCACAAAAAAAAAATCCTTGATGTAGATGGTATCAGCCACATTTTTCAGATAAAGGTTGGAGAAGTTAAGGTCCAAAAGCCAGGAAGAAAAAGGGCTGACATTAAACCAGGTAGTTTAACCTGAGAGCTTGTAACTTGAACTGTCACTAGTGAATGGAGTAGAATCTGGTTTGCCCCAAATCCATTGTACATAGAGTAGCATGCTACTGTTAAAAAGAACTGTTTAAATTGCTGTGTCTGGAAGTAGATGTTTGAGTCTCAATTGCTTCATCTGGGCATTGTTACTTTCTTTGTTGTTCTTTTCAGCATATGCTCTCCAAAGTTGGAATGTGGGACTTTGACATTTTCTTGTTTGATCGCTTGACAAATGGTAAGTTACCTCCCGGAGTGGATTCATTTCATGAGAAACAAATTGTATTTTTAGACAAACTACTTTTTCCTTCTTTTCCCACTCTCATAAATCTATAGTCAGTCAAGACAGACCAGGGAGGGGAAAATTAATTCAGATGAAGAATGAGGACTGAATTTGACCTTAGCGTGTTAGGACGGTTTCCTTCTGACCTGTGATCCCAAAAGAATTAGGAAACCACTGATTGCATTCCTTCCTCTCAGATGCTGTAGCCATGTCCAAATGTAGAGAGTTCATTGCTAGTCAATGGCAAGTGAACACACAAAAGCACACCTGACTAGTCCTGACCCTTACAGACAAGGTGCTTATGCAGCTTCTTAAGCAAACTGAGTCTGCCCGTTGTAGGCATTGCTCAAATAAGTTTGGCATTGTCAGGAGGAAGCAAATGCTAGGGAAAGAATGTAAAAGCTGAGGCTGTAGCTGAAAATTAAGCACTCCCATTGACTCTTCTTTTCACATTTTTATGTCTGTAAAAGCTTTGCCTAGGAAAATAATAAAATCTCTTTTCCTCTCGATGTTAAACAAATGTAGATAAGCTTAGGCCAGGGAAAGGTATCACTCAATGCTAATGTTGAACTGACCCATCATCTGTCATATTTGTGCATTAGTCATTGCCCATGTTTTATCAATGTTGACTTGGCAAGCAATGTGCTGTAAGAGAGACATAGTGTAAGATTATGGCATGGATTTTTACTCTACGGAAAGCTAACTAAAATGCATAAGATATGTGTGGAATCCCAGAGTCCACAATGTTTCGTTGATCTTGTTTGGATCACCTAGAAATGGGTACTGATAAATATAATTAACTGTGAATAAGAGAACTTTTTCAGTGGTGTTTGAAAGAAAGTATAATCCTGTCACAGAAATGTGAAACGAAGCCATCAAAAGATTTTGTTTATCTCAGTTCATTAGCAGGCTGCTGACCTACCACAACAGTTCAAAAGGAAACCTCAAAGAACCACACACACATGCAATGCAGTAAGATACACTGAAATAAACTAATAAGCAGCTGTGGAATGCTACCAGACTAGCTTCAGCTGTAAGTCTATAGACAAGGATCATTTACAATGTTATCTGCTGTCTCTAACTTGGAGAGTTCTAAAATACCTCCAAGACAATGAAATGTGTAGAGATGCATTGAATCAGGTACCCTAAAAGAACATTCTTTGGCAATACTCAGAATGCACTGAAGACACTGAGGCAGCTTCTTGATCCATTGCAAAGTCTTAAATAAGCTCTGTTAATACTTTTTAAAATTATCAAAAAAAAAATACTTGTCAGCCAGGCATGTTGACATGCAGGAGGCTGAGGCTACTAGACATGATTTTGAGGCTGGCCTGAACTATATATAGTGAGACCCTATCTCAATGACAAATAAATTAACTAGTTAATTAAATTCAAAATAATTATTCTTGGATAGGTAATAGTTCCTGAATATTAATGTTATTGTAGCTTTAATTTTGCAGCTCTTCTGGCTTGGATTGTGAAATATCTCAAAAGTCAGTCTTCTTTTACATAAGTCTCATAGGAAGAATAGGCTACTATTGAGGAGTGCAGTGATTTAAATATCCCTATAATGTAAAAGTCAATTGGAAATGACTTAAAGCTTATTTCAAGCAGCGATGTGATTTTAAAATTACACACACACACACACACACACACACACACACACACACACACACACACTCAATACTTCAATAGACAAATTTCTTCACTTAATATTTTCTTTCCTGTTGCTGTAAGAAGATGGGAGCTAACTTTATTTATACAATAGTTAGAAGCCTAGAAAAAGATCATAGTATATATAATTTCAAATCCAACGTGGAGAATTATTCTATCAGATAAACTTCATTTCAGAGAATTTAAATCTTATTTTCAATCTTGCTAGTGTGTTTAAAAAATAATCATAAAGCAAGTGACTATTCCTCTCCAGGGAACAGTCTGGTAACACTGCTGTGTCACCTCTTCAACACCCATGGACTCATCCACCATTTCAAGCTGGATATGGTGACCTTACACAGGTTTTTGGGTAAGTCTTTTTTCTTTCATGTTCCTATACAACCACGGGAATAAAGGCAATTCATAACTCTTCGATTCCAAATGTCAAGAGACATGAGCTGAACAAGGACAATAGACATGATATGGAAGAAAGCCCACAAGGCCTCAACCCTACACCAAGAGCAACAGGCAACTAAGGATGCAGAGAGTGGGAGACATAGTCTTTCCCAGATTATTCAATACCAAATAATCAAGTAACATACAAGTAACATTTACAGACTGAGCAGGTTGTATTTGTACATATAGGAACATGTATGTATATACATATGTACATATATGTATATATAGTAACAATTAATGAAAAAAGAGGCTATGAATGTAAAAGACACAAGGAAAGTATATAGGAGAGATTGTCAAGTGGAAAGAGAAGGAGAAAATGATTTAAATATATTAATCTCAAAACAATAACAAATAATTTTAAATAAAAAATAGTTAAGAACCAGAGCATCATAGAAAAAGACCTCAAAATAACCTTAAAAGATTTGACTTTAGTTTTTAAATATAGCTTATCTGTCCTAAGCCATTGATAAATTGTTGGCTTAATGTGTTGTGTTTCTAATAAGTTCTGGATCTATAAAGAAAGCCTATCAGTCTATAGGTGTCAAGATATGCATTCCAATGAGATATGCCTCAACTCTAGTCACAACACGAGTTGCTGAAAATCTTTAAAATGAATGGTATTACAATTTACATACCCACCATGGGAGCGATACTTTAGATAAATTATTTCTAATCATTTGAAGAAAACCCAAATTGGACATTATTATCACCATTTGGTCCACAGTTACAGAGAACAAACAAGAGATTTCATTACTTTCCCAAGGCTAATGACTAGTGGATAGCCTGGTCCCAGTTCACATGCAGGTGTAAGCCCACCATCTTTACACACAATGCTGCCATCATTCTTTCCCTAAAAGCAGCCCCAGTTCTTACATTCTGTGAGTGTTCTGACTTAAATGCCCATGAATCTCCAAGGTAGCTTTCTAATCACCAGATGGCTTGCCTCTGCCACTTAGCACATTTCTGGTTCTTTGATTTGCTATGTGGTTGTACTATGGATTTGAAAGTTGACTCAGTGCCGACAGAAGGAAGATAAAAATAGCCTCAGCCGCCAGGTTTACATCTTCTGGAAACTCTATCAAGGGCTTGTATGTATGAATCATACAAAAGCAGTGACACCTTGAACTCAGAACAATGTTATCCCAAAGTCAGGGAAGAAAGTTGAGAATTGTGGTTAAGTGATTTGCGCATCATAGGTAAGTGACTGAACTGGAGTTTACATAGGACATGAAACAAACCTACTGAATAAAAAGCACATGCAGCACAGTAGAAATATGGGAAACCTGCCACAACTTCGCTCCTTTCCAGGAACCTAAATAACCTCGGGCTGATGGTATTTTAATTGCTTGAGCAAAGTAATGCCACGAAAAGGGCCAAATAATTTCGATTGGTCTAAAGAGATGCATATTCTTTGGACACGTATATGAGCCCCCAGGACATATAAGAAATACAGCCTTGACAGCTGAATTAACAGTAGAACCCAGAGCCAGATTCATAGCATAAGCTAAAAGAACACAGTCATTGTAAGTCTGGTCATTCTATACACACTGAATATATTGCATCCCAAGCATTGACTTGGTCATTTGCTAGAGCAACAAACCAAGATTGCATTGCCTATTATTAGACATGGCCCTCTTATCCTTGAATTGCACTGGAGGACCATGGAAGAGGGAGATGTGAACCGAGGAAGCCTCCCTTGGATCAATGCAGTCCTGTAACTGCTACCTGATGGAAGACTAGATTTGTTTTGATGAGTATTTATTATTCAAGTGGTAATATAATCACTGGACAGCAGGAATCCAACACACAAGGGCTCTGAAAGGAAGCATCATCTATGGCAGAATATTAATGAATGGCAACAGATTTTGATAATTAAAGGATGGTGTGAAATAAAGTTGTACTTTTTCCTCCATATTTATTTGCCCTGTGAATGAGAGCCTTCCTGAATTCCAGAAAGGGATAATTTATGGAAGAGGTGAGAAATCCCAAGAGCCTCACAGACCCTTCTAGCCTTTCTCTTCCGTTTCGTTTCCATTACAAACAGCCCAGTTGAGGCACAAGGCTTGCAAACCACCCTCGCTTTTAAAGGATTCCTCATTGGAAGCTCTGATACTTTGAAGTAAAAAAAAATACCTATGTAAGTCACATCTACTATGTCGTGCTTGTTTTGATCTTAGCTGACTAAGCTTCCTAATTTTTTCCTAGTCATGGTTCAGGAAGATTACCACGGTCACAACCCATACCATAATGCTGTTCATGCAGCTGATGTCACCCAGGCCATGCACTGTTACCTGAAGGAGCCAAAGGTAAGGCAAGATTCAGTCACCTCCTCCATCATCTGGAGATGCCAAGTTGATGTATTGCTAAGCACTCAATTGTTCAATGTTGGGAATCCAATTCAGTCACAATATGACTGAAAATTATTTATACTAACGTTTTCAGCATCAGCTCTGAAAATCTTACCATATCCATGAAAACAGATGTGGATTTTCTGAAACTTCCTTCCATGGTTTATTGATTTTCAAGGCTATTCGAAGCCAGAAACACCCAGCCAACCTCTTATATATCCTCAGTGGTCCCAAAGACCAGCATATCCGAAAGGGACCTTTACCATGAGCACTGTTAGCACTGAGCTGCAGTGGAGAAAGCTTTCCAGTTGTGATTTCTGATCAGTAAAGGGGATCAGAGCTCCTCCAGTTTCAAGTCCCATTTCTATTCGGTCAATGGGAGATTCTGATTCAGAATCCAAGAAAATTCTTGAGTGTCCAAGATCTCTTAGCAAGCATGCTCTGATGCAATGAACCAACCCAATATCAGAGAATAAACACAAAATGATAGTGTAATGTAATATTCTTTACAATTAAGGCCATTCATCACTATTAAATAATTAGGGGTTTTGTAATATACAGTAGGAATTCCTTTGAGGGTTTTTTAAAATAGTATTCAAGTTCAACACTCTGCTTAGTACAATCAATTTTAGTAGTTCATTAAAAATATATATGCAGGCTGGGTGGTGGTGGCACACGCCTTTAATCCCAGCACTCGGAAGGCAGAGGAAAGCAGATGATCTTTGTGAGTTCCAGATCAGCCTGTTCTACAGAGGGAGTTCTACGACAGACTCTAACGCTACACAGAGAAACCCTGTCTTGAAAAATCAAAGGGAAAAAAGAAAGAAAGAAA